ACTATGTGTAGGGCAGTGGAAGAGGTCATTCAAGTTGTCTCTATCACTGTACTGCTATATGTAGGGCAGTGGAAGAGGTCATTCAAGTTGTCTCTATCACTGTACTGCTATATGTAGGGCAGTGAAAGGAGTCATTCAAGTTGCCTCTATTACTGTACTGCTATATGTAGGGCAGTGGAAGTAGTCATTCAAGTTGCCTCTATCACTCTACTGCTATGTGTGGGGCAATAGAAAAGGTCAATCAAGTTGACTCTATCATTTTACCGCTATGTGTGGGCAAATGAAAGAGGACAAACAAGTTGTTTCTATCACTCCAGTGTGTGGGACACAATGGAAGAGGTTATTCAGGTTGCCTATATCACTCTAGTGCCATGTGTGGGGTGCTGGAAGGGGTCAATCAAGTTGACTCTATCACTAGCGCCATGTGTGGGGCACTGGATGGGGTCAATCAAGTTGACTCTATCACTCTACTGCTATCTATGGGACAATGGATGAGATCACTGTACTGCTGTTTGTACGGCAATGGAAGATGTCATTCAAGTTGACTATATCACTCTCCTGCTATCTGTGGGACAATGGATGGGATCACTGTATTGCTGTTCGTATGGCAATGTAAGGTGTCATTCAAGTTGCCTCTGTCACTCTACTGCTATTTATGGGGCAATGGAAGAGGCCAGTCAAGTAGACTATCACTCCACTGCTGTGTGTAACAATGGGATGTGTCGGTCAAGTTGACAATATAAAGTTCAAAATTATGCAGGATACGAGTACGTGTATACCTGGTGGTCGGGAAGCATTCCGTCTCCATTTCGAATTTCGATGATCACAGATTTGTTTCAAGAGAGTTGGAGGTACATATGATGAACTAACAATCAAAGTGAGTCTGGGATGCAACAACTCCAGAAGTATAGCTTACCTCACAAGGGGGGGGGTCGTTAGGGTAAATGTTCATTACCACATTGACAGTGAACATCCTCTCTTTGTGTTCAGATCAGAACATTATTCTTT